AGCAAGTTGTCACAGCCATTTGATAATTATTTTGTTTGTATACCGCTTTGAATGCTTAAGTTACAAAATCTCTTATTAAAATTCAAAGAAAGCTTTAGCTATAAAACCTTTTTAAATCATAACAATCTTTCCACTTGTCGGCAATAATTTTTATATTTTATCGCCATCACTTCAATTTATTTTGTTTATTTTAACGCGTAAGTGGTGTAATAAAAATTGATGAGGTTCTTACAGTTCACTAAGACTCTGAGCGCTGAACGGTCGTTGTATCCGTGGCATAATATTTTTTTTCTACTCTCTTACTAGTAAATTGTATATTACCTACTATTTGGATGCTAAGTAAATGCATCATAACAGATACTGACACGTAATGACTAGCACGTAATAAAAAAAATTACGCTTCAGTTTTATAAAAATGTGTAATATCACATAAGCCTCGTAAGTCAGTTGCTAGAGTTACCATGGAAACGAATAAACAGACGTTATTTTGACAGATTAAAAATTATTAATCTGTCAGTGTAAATACAGTGGTAATATTATTAATTAATTATAAACGAAAATAATGGTAGAAAAAGTATAGTACACAACTTGAGTTGTAAGCTTATTACATGCTTGTAAAATTACTGCGCTCGCCGCTACGCGGCTCGCGCGCAACTTTTTTACTCGCATGTAATAAGCTTCTTACAACTCTCGTTATGTAATATACTATTAATTTTGTGTATGTATAGATTGATGCTTATAAGTGATAATTTTGTTACATCATTTTTTAAAAGCACGCGATATGTTTTGTTGGGAACTGGCAAATATAGATTTTCAATAATTTTGAAGTTTAATTTTGTAATATACGAACCGTGTATTTTATACGCAAATTCGGGAGAATTGCGTTGGTACATACTTGACACAAGTGGTGTATTGTCTAATAAGAAAAATACAATAAGGCTGAAGGGAAAATTATATAAAACAGTTATAAGACTAGCTATGCTATAAATATGGAACTGAATGTTAGCCATTTAAAAAGAAAGATCAACAACAAATGCATGTGACGGAAATGAAAATGTTTAGATGGATGAGTGAAGTGATAAAAAATGATAAGATTCTTCTTCTTCTTTAGGTACCATCTCCTCTAAGGAGGTTGGTAATCATCACAGCTATTTTCACTTTTGAGATTGCAGCTCTGAACAAGTCAACGGAACTGCAATTATACCACTTTCTTAGATTGTTGAGCCAGAAGATGCGTCTTCTTCCATTACTTCGTTTTCCCTATATTTTTCCCTGCATTATGGTTTGTAACAACACATATTTATCCCCTCTCCGTAGCCGAGATATTGTAACTTTCTTATCTTAATCGTATTCATGATTTCCATTTCCTTTGTCATCTTTCTGAGGACCTCGACATTTGTTATTCGGTCTACCCAACTTATTTTTAAAATTCTTCGGTAGGTCCACATCTCGAATGCTTCAAGTCGATCGCTCACCTCTTTCTTTAAGGTCCAGGCCTCCACCCCATACAGCAGCACCGAAAACACATAATAACGTAATATGCTTATTTTGAGTTGTAAACTAAGGTCTCTACTGCATAATACTTTTCTCATCTTATTAAATGTTGCTCTAGCTTGTCCAATTCTCATTTTTATTTCTTCTGTATACTCGTTATTTTATGATAAGATTAAGACTGAGTATATTAGAGGAAGTCTAGTCTAATCGATTTTAAAATGATCGAGAGTAAGTTAATGTATATGCAGCTCAAGAGCCGCCTCCACCGAAGAAGAAATTAGAGAAGCCATTTCAAAACTGAAAAATATCAAAGCCCCTGGTTTGGATAATCTTCCTGTCGAACTCTTTTAAAATGGTGGTGACACCCTTTTTTAATACATGCATAAATTAGTAACTGAAATCTGGCAACGGAAGGAAACGCCTACAGACTGGAAATTAGGTGTAATGCACCCTCTTCACAAAAAGGAAGATATGATGGTGTGTGATAATTATAGAGGCATCACCCTACTTAACGTGGCATATAAAGTATTGTCGAACGTATTGTACAGAAGATTTATCCCCTATAGTGAACAAATAGTGAACAAATAAACAGACAAAAGCTTCTACAGGCTATAGTGGAATTTCAAATGCCGCTTCATCTTGTTCAACTAACGGAACTTACACTCACAGACGTAGAGAGTGTAGTCAGAATCCAAAATGACTTTTCAAGACTCTTTCATTGTAAAAATGGACTGAGACAGGGAAATGGACTGTCGTGTCAGCAAACTTAAAGAAAATTTAAAGTTACCATATATAAAACTTCTTCTTCTTAACGTGCCTATCAAGTCCTCTTGACGTTGGCGATTAACATGGCGAAACTGTCTCTGTCTCGAGGTATTCTAAATAGTTGCTTAGCTTTCTTTATTCCTGTTCACTCCCTGATATTCTTCAACCAAGAGGCCTGCTTTATACCAATTCCTCTGCCTCCTTGGATTTTACCCATCATAATAAGTTGAAGAATATTATATCGGTCTCCCCTTACTGCGTGTCCAAAATAGGCCATCTTTCTACATTTGATGTTATCAAGCAGCTCGCGAGCAGCATTTGCTCTCTCAAGGACTGCCACATTTGTCAGCATAGCCGTCCATGGAATTTTTAGAATACGTCTGTGCAGCCACATTTCAAAAACCTCCAGACGATTAATGGTGGATATTTTTAATGTCCATGCTTCGACACCGTATAAGAGGACTGACCAAATGTAGCATTTAACCATGTGCTTTCGAAGTTGAAGTTGCAAGTTATCATTACAGAAGAATGACCTCATTTTTAAAAATGTTGTGAGGGCTATCTCGGTTCTACATTTTATCTCTTGATCTGGATCTAGTTGTTTAGTAATATGGCAACCAAGATATTTAAAACTGGACAATCTTTGAATTATATGACCATCAACATATAATCGTGCATCGATGTGGTAAATGGCTAAACACCATGTGTTTTGTTTTTGCACAGTTTATGTTTAGACCAAACTGTCTTTTCACTGTATCAATGGCATTTAAAAGGCATTGTAATCCATTCATGTCATCACTTAAAATAACTGTATCGTCTGCATATCTGATTGTATTTATCAGAATTCCATTAACTTTCACGCCCCATTCCAAATTATGCAGCGCTTCTTTAAATATTCTATCTGAATATAAATTAAATAACAGCGGGGATAGTATACAACCCTGTCTGACACCTCTTTGTATTTTACATATTTCTGTTGATTTTCCGTTTATGCAAGCTGTCGCTGTTTGACGCCAGTATAACTTTTCTATGAATCGTATGTCTTGACTATCAACTCCTTTATCTTTTAATATTGTAATTAATTTGTTATGCTGTACTCATAGATCAAAGGCCTTTTCATAGTCAATAAATAGAGCAAAGACGTCTTTCCTTTGATCTCGACATTTCTGCAGTAATACATTTAGTGCAACAAGGGCGTCCGGAGTTCCCAGTCCATTTCTGAAGCCAAATTGTGTTTCATCCTGATCCTCTTCACATTTATCTCTGATTCTACTGTGGATGATGCGTAGAAATATTTTCAAAGTGTGGCTCATAAGGCCATATTCTACAATCGCTACAGTTTTTCGGACGTTGTTTTTTTGGTAGTGTTATGAATTCGGACTTTAACCAATCTTCAGGGATATCACCAGTCGAATAAACATCATTGAAAAGTTTGACCAGTATTCCAATGTTCTCCTCATTTATAAGCTTTAACATCTCTGTTGGTATGTTATCAGGGCCAACGGCTTTCTTGTTCTTTGCTAACTTTATAGCATGCGGTATTTCTGATTTTAGTATTTCTGGCCCTTCACCTTCAACTAAAGTCTCCGGTTCTTCGGGTCTATCATCATTATACAGTTCACTTATATAATTACACCAGGTTGTTCGAATTTCATGTTCGTCTATTATCATTTTTCCCGACGAATCGGTTATAGTATGTGGAGTTTTCTTAAGATAAAGACCAGCTACTTCTCTAACTTTTTTAAACATATTAAACGTATCATGTTTTTCATTCAACTTTTCTAATTCCTTGCATTGATCCTCCATGCATTTTTCTTTAGCCACCTTTATTTTTTGTTTAATTAGTTTCTGTTTTTCCTTATATTCTGTCTTGTTACCTTTCAGTTTCCTTCTCTGCTCCATTAATTCCAGGATTTTATCAGTCATCAAATGTTGTTTTTTGTGCCTGTGTAACGTTGTTGAATATTTTTCTATAACTTTCAAGGTAAGATCTTTAAATGTGTTCCATATTTCTGTGTTGTTTTTATTTATTGACTTCTTTAGCTCATTGTTCAAGTCATTTTCTATTAACGTTTTGTTGGATATTGAGATATTTAATTTTGATGTTTTGGGGCTTTCTTGGACTTTTTTTAGCTTGACTTTGATGTCAGTTATTACAGTTACATATTATATATAAAACACTAATATGGAAAGTGTTAACACACGGGTCAGAAACGTGGTCACTTACACAGAAAGACCAAGAATTGGTTAAACGTTTCGAGAGAAAAATTCTAAGGAAAATATATGGAGGAGTCCAAAAACAGGGTTTGTGACATGGACACTACACTTTGAGTTATATAGAAGTTTTGGAGAATCTGACGTTGTAAAATATATTAAACTAGAAGCCTAAGACGAGCCAGAGGAAGACTAAAACTTAGGTATCACATGGAAAAGAGTTGCCAGATACAGGGGCGAATGGAAGGCTGTTCTGAAGAAGTAATGCCACTGATGATGATGAATATCACATAACTGTATTTTTATAGTTAAAGGAAAAAAATAGAAAAATGGTCACAGCTGAAGCAGATCAAAAACAATGCATCGTGTCACGTGCCTACCGCAATAATAAAGTGTATAACCCTCTTGTATAACTATACGTGGACAATATATTGATATCAGTGGATTTTAAGTTTGATTTTGATTGTTGTTATTTAGTTTAATGGTGTATTTGATAAAAAATGGCTATAAAAGTAAAATAAATTAACCTAATGTACCCAAGCCAACTGAGAACTCTTCACTTCTGTCCCATTCTGCACCACAGTGGCAGTCATCGGCTGTTTGGCGCCTGATGAGTTCTTCTTCGGGAACAACTTCTTCGCTACGTTTATACCCATATTTCGGTCTTTAGTTATATCTCTAAGGATTTTGGACAATCGATAACGTTTCTTTCTAGCCATGGTTTTTACAGCATCCACGTGCTTATGATGTTCCGGATTCATCCCAACGGTGTTAAGTTGATCGATGTCGTTGGTGTCCAAAACTGGTCGAAACGCCGATACTGCACGTGACACTCCAACCTAAATAGAAGTTCGTATATAATAGTAAGTAGGTGCTTTTATTATTTATTTGTACAAAATAACACTGTTAATATAATACTGCGTAGAAGGAAAGGTTTTGAATAGCAGGTAAAGGAATAACAAAATAACACAAAAGATATTACAAAAGGAAATAGATCTACTGAAATTAAAAGAAGTTTAAACAGGAATAAGAAAGCTGTACAACAGCAAAATACTTGAGATGGTCCTTGAATACCTATAACTAATTTGGTCACGTCAAAAGCAGAAATGAAAACTATGGGGACGAAATATAGTGCTGTTAGAAGTTAAGGGAACGAGAGGTAGAGGAAATCCAAAAAGAAGATGGAAGGACTGTGAAGAACAAGAGAAAAGGTATAATATACAAACTTCTTCGAACTATACCATACCGAACATATCGCCCAAATAATCGACAGTGTGTTGAACGATTGAATGATCTAAGTGATGACAGTAACCGGCAGAACACTGAAGAATAACCTGTTTAAGGAACCTATCCCATCTCCTCTGCTCTAACCTGTACATCTCGGAGATACCTGTAGGTCAATTGAATAGAAAAATTGTCTGTTTTATATAAATAAAACTGCCAGAACCAGACTTGCGTATAACGAAAATTGACAGAATCCTATTTTTCAAATAATATTTAAAAAAACAGCAGGAAAACTTAAATCCAGAGACAACATCGTCCAACATCCACATTAAAGCTGTATTCCATAATATGGGAAGCATCGACATCCACACTGCTATTATCTGCCCTAAGTGTTGTCTTTACACTCTTGCATGTGAGCTTGGAGAGCATGGGCATTAAAAAGTTATTAAAAGTGGAGCAGAATATAAAACATTTTGATGTAGTGGTCGCAAACCTCCAGTAATTGAGTGCACCAGAAGAAAAAGAAGATGTAGAAGAAGAATAAGAAGATGTGTGATTTACAGTCCACATACATAATCAAAATTATTGCTGGCGTTTTCAAATCGCCCTACATAATGGCTCGCAGATCTAAGTCGCATTCCTTCGTCCAAATTATAGTAGACGTAAACACTCTTACAAATATATTGAACTAGAAGAAAAACTAGTAGAAAAAACTATTGACATCGGTAACCTACCATCAAGCCCATTAAGACATAGATGCTGCTCACTATTATCAACGCCATCCGTGGAAAAAGAGTTTAATCTCAGGACCTCATGGAGCTGTGAATGGTCTGACCAACAAAATACTAGCAGGTTTGATTTAGCATGCATCACATGATCTATGCTGGACAGAATCATCCCCACTACGTAACTGCGGACGACTACAAATCATTAGAAACATCACCACAAGAATATATGATGGTAGACAAGATGACTTTCTAACGACGATCCTAGAGTCGATAAGCTATATAAATATATGTATTCAACTGTATGCAATCAAGAGCCATACAATAAGTAAAATAATAATATTAAATGAGTTTTTAACAAAAATTTATCAACAATAGTAGAAATGTTGTGATGGTGTAAAACTACTACACTAACTATATTTACATGTCCATGCTTGACCAAGTGTTCGGTAATATCTGCTCCCATCAGCTCGGTGTGAACCTCCATCCTGATCGTTATGAACTGGTTGATAATCCAGAGCAGTATAAACGTTGAAAGTACTCCCCAAGCGAGCAAACATAGAGCTGTTAGTGTTTGAATAGCTAGAAGGTACCATCCGCCACCTACAAAGACAGCAGTCTTGAAAAAATGATATATTTATGATAATATATAAATATTTATGTAGAAAACTAAGTGTGATTGATGTTGCTCTTAAGATTATATAGGTAATTTTGTGATTGTGATATCACTACTTTACTATTATTGATATACGGGCTATTTGCATATAAAAGAAAATATTTAAAATAATAATTTGTATTTTAAAATCCGTTTTCGAGGCATAAATCTAAAGATGGAATATAAAGTATAATTTTACTTAAAATTGGGGTGTATTTCCATTACATAATGTAGTACACTCCATATTGTATCGGTTTACGCTACATACAGGGTGATTGATTAATGTGAGGAAGCTCAGTAGATCTGTTATAGTAAAAATTACAAAAAAAAGTTATTAACAAAAATTGTAGGCAGCTTTAAACTCCATATTTTAAAATTAGTTACAATCCTACAGGGTGTTCCATAAGATGGTGGCAGACCAAACTTATGTTTTTTTAAATAGAACACCCTGTATTTTATTTTAAATTTGAAATATGCTTTACTTCCACATTACAACAATGTAAAGTTTTATTATGTTATACCGGGTATTTAAAAAGTTATAACCAATATTACCTGAAAATCGTATCAAGTTTAACTCCCTGTATAATTAAAAAGGATTGTAGGAACATTGATCTATTGCAACCATAGTTTTTTAATAATTGTTAAAAACTATAAAACATATTTATTTTCATAATATTCGTTAAATCAAATACAGGGTAAGCCAAAATGCAAGTACATTATTTTCTTGGTAATTTTAAATAGAACACCCTGTATTTTATATCACGATCGAAAAGAACTAATATCGTACTTCATATTTTATGAAGTACTCCCTATACCTAAAGTTATTAGTTTTAAAGATATTGTTATTTTTCCATCAAAGTATTAATTTGGTAGATATTTTAACGTTTACCAATAATTATTGTGAGTTGGCCATGATTGATTTGTCAGAAACTGACAGTTTGACATTAATATTTATTAATTCAGTATTGGGGTACACCGTAAATTAGCAACAATTATTATTTAGTAATTCAGTAATTGATTCAATTTAAATTAGCAATAATGAATTTTACCACTGATGAAATGGTAGATATGATTTGGATATTGGGGGAATGCAATAAAAATTCATTACTATCAGCTAGAATTTATCAAGAACGGTTTCCAGATAGGCGACAACCTAGACAAGATACATCTGAAAAATTGAAAGATCGATTTAACCGCACTGGTTCAGTGAATTATGAAAAACATGAACAAACAAAAAATAGTGTGACAGAGGAAACAAAATGAGTGTGTTGATGGCGGTTACAGAAAACCCACACACAAGCATAAGGACTATTTCCAATGAACAAGAACTTAGTTACTGCTCTGTTCAAAACATTCTATCTAAAAACAAGATGCACCCTTATCATATTCAAAAGCACCAAGAATTAATTAATGATGATTTTCAGAAACGAATAGTATTTTGTGAATGAGCCTTAGAAAAAATTAATGAGCAGAGAGATTTTTTTGATTATGTCCTATTTGGTGATGAAGCTACATTCCATCGAAACGGTTCTTTTAATAGGCATAACTTTCACTACTACTTAACAAGTAATCCATACCACATAGTAACACATAGTAAATCAAGATGGTCTCTAAATGTGTGGGGAGGTATCGTCGGTAACCATGTAGTAGGACCATATTTTTTTGAAGATAATTTAAATGGTGAGATTCATTTAGATTTTATCGTAAATCAGTTACCGATATTATTAGAAGAGGTTCCACTTAATATACGTAAAAAAATGTGGTTTCAACATGACGGTGCTCCTGCGCACCACAACGAATTAGTACGTGGTGAGCTTAATAATCAGTTTGGGGAAAGATGGATCGGAAGGGATGGACCGGTAAGGTGGCCCCCAAGGTCACCAGAATTCAATAAAATGGACTCATTTTTTTGGGGTTACGTTAAGAACGAAGTATATAAAATACCCCCAACAACAAGGGATAATATGAAAAATAGAATCCGAATTGCATTTCAAAATATTTCTTTACAAATGCTTAGTAATCTAACCAACTCTTTCAATTACCGTTTTCAAGCATGCATAGATGTTTTGGGAGGTCATTTTGAACACCTTACTTAACTAAGATAAGTTAAACTTACTGTTGTTTTTAATTTTTCTATGTGTTGTTATATTTTTTTTTATTTTCCGTCGTTTATTTTTTATAAATTTTATTTTAAATAAATTGTTTTCCGCAAATCGCCAGGACTTCCTTACTGTAAGGAAATGATATTTTCATACAGTTGTTAGTGTTCTACATAAATGATAGAAAACACATTGCTTATAAGGAATTAATTTATATTTTGAAAACATCAAGTCATTGCTGAATACATTTTTAAGATCAATTTTTACCATGTACAGTCATTCGGACTAACTCATCCATTCTACAGGCCCCAGAAATACCAAATATTACAGCCACCTAAAAAACAAATAAAGCTATAATCTAAATAGAAATTAAAACCTTGTAAATTACCTTAATCATTAAATTTTCTTTATCTGGAGCTTCCTGGATAAATTTTTCAATTTATTCCTTCGTTAAAATCTTAGATTTCTTTGCCCTATAACCTTGAGCTTGCCGTTTCAATAAAGAACAAAGTTTTGAGTATGTAGATATATCTACATTGTGTTTAAGTGCAAGGGTTGACTTCAGCATTGAATAATTGGCCCATAATGTTGAAGATTTCATCTTTAAACAAAGGTCTAGGAAGTATGCCATTACAACATTTTCTGAGAAAGAACTCGTATTTTTACTCATGCGATAATCCATAAAACGTCTGTATGCATTTTCGTACTTTTCTCTTGATTTCTTTGGCAATAATTCTAATGAAGCAGTATTCACTGCCTCAACCAGCTCTGGAGGAGTCCCAGGAATGGAAATTTCATCATCACTTATCATTTTACTTTCGAGAACACCAGCAATTAAATTTATAAGCGTCAAGTTTGACATTCAACCTCAATACGTTTCCATAGTAACCCAAGTAATTTTATTAGGAATTTCAAAGCACCATTTATTTGGGAATAAAATTATCGCGTTTTTTTAAATCAATCAATATCTGTCGAATTTTAAACGATTTGCGGAAAAATAGTATGTTTACCTCGTAGGAAAAGCCACATTCCTGGACTCTGTGTTGCTAGAAATCTTCACAGTCGTCCAGGAATGTTAAGCTTTTCCTACCCGGTAAACAATGTACTATTTCTTTTCTGTGTCGTTATTTCGTTACTAAATTATTAAACAATAATGTCAAACTGTCAGTTTTTGACAAATCTATCATAACCAACTCACAATAATTATATTGTGAGTTGTTAAACGTTAAAATATCTACCAAATTAATACTTTGATGGAAAAACAATAATATCTAGAAAACTGATAACTTTAGGTATAGGGAGTACTTTATAAAATTTGAAGTACGATATTATTACTTTTTGATAGTGATATAAAATACAGGATGTTCTATTTAAAATTACCAAGAAAATAATGTATTTGCATTTTGACTTACCCTGTATTTGATTTAACGAATATTATGGAAATAAATATGTTTTATAGTTTTTAACAATTATTAAAAAACTATGGTTGCAATAGATCAATGTTCCTACAATCCTTTTTAATTATACAGGGAGTTAAACTTGATACGATTTTCAGGTAATATTGGTTATAACTTTTTAAATACCCAATATAACATAATAAAACTTTACATTGTTGTAATGCGGAAGTAAAGCATATTTCAAATTTAAACTAAAATACAGGGTGTTCTATTTAAAAAAACATAAGTTTGGTCTGCCACCATCTTATGGAACACCCTGTAGGATTGTAACTAATTTTAAAATATGGAGTTTAAAGCTGCCTACAATTTTTGTTAATAACTTTTTTTAGTAATTTTTACTATAACAGATCTACTGAGCTTACTCACACTAATCAATCACCCTGTATATTTCCGTTTAAGCTCACGGGAAGGTAAAACGAAAGATATTTATAATAGTCTCCAAGATTCCATAGATAGATGGAATGCTTGACAATAAATTTAATATACGATGCATCGTATTTCATAAACAAAGAAACACACATACACTAATGGTCAAAAATATTCTCTGAAATATATGGATATCCAAAGAAGATTGGAACAAGGCCAGCTAATTTGACCAGGCTAACAAAACTTATATAAATAAACTTTAAATTACCTTTTAGAATTCCATTTCTGCCACTTGTGGTATCAAGTGGGACAGGATCCTCGGCGAAAATACCAACTGCTATAACCCCTAGAAATCATCAATGATATTTTTATTATATACTTAAAAAATTCCTAAGTCAAATTTAAAGCTTTTCGCCATTTTTAGTTAAGCAAAATCCCGTTCCACGTGTTCTTTTATGTTTTTAAACGAATCTTTTTTGAGATGGAGTATTAGGTAGAAGTCTAACAAATTACAACTTACCCCATATCCCACCTATGCCATGAACTGAGCTAGCACCTACAGGATCATCTACGCCCATCTAAAAAAACTTTTTATTAGTATTACTATGTCAGATATTGACGAGATTGAAATCATCTTACCATATCAAATACAGGCATCGAACTGCAAACTAGAATAGCTCCTAATGTCCCCACTAGAAGTGCTTCCCATCCTGCAATTAATGTTCGTATGTAAAAAAAAGTAGGGTAAAGGCTACAGTGATTGGCCACTTAAGCATTAGAGTTTGATAAATGTGTAAGACATTAATTTTTATTGAAAACCATATATTTAAATAATACACTAAATGTTAGACTAAAGTGTCCTCTTTATGACTCAGTAAGTCATTTATTGATTAAAAATGTTTAATATTTATAAAAAAAAGTTTTATTCTTGCAGAAGCATATTTTACAGTGATTGGCCTAATTCGTATAGTAATTGGCATAGTAAAGTAGATAGTAATTGGCCACCACTAAGAAGCTGAGGTACCCTACATATTTTTCTTATTTATGTACCCTACCTGCGTAATTTTAATTTTGGTTAAAGAACTATAAAAAATTATATATATAATTTTAGTGATCAAAGAATAATTTGGTTTCAAAAATTTTTAATAAATGGAAGAAATTACAAACCAATTACAATGTTATCTTATCAAAACAAACGTTGCACCAAAAGTTCTCCATTTCGGCGGATTTCATCTTATTTTTGGAAATACATTTTATATGGTATGTTCTGGAGACAATTTGAACATTTTACTCCATATTGACTACGTGTTATATTATTAACACACGTATAGCACAGTCCAGTGTATATAGTTTTGTTCTTAAATGGATTAGGAGCAGATGGTTTAATAATAACCATATTCGTGTTAATTATTTTTTTAGTATTATCTAATTCATCTTCACTGTTGTCACTAAACAGTTTTCTTTTTATTTTTTCTGGCACAACAGTAAGATAACTTTTGATGTTTTCAGGGCTATGTTGGAAGTCCATTTTTGGCAAGGTTTCCGTTACGTTGAGTAAAGCATCACCATCGTTTACATTTACAGAAAATTTCATATTGGGATCATTGTTTTCTTTATCACCTGTTCTGCTCGTTACGGTTTCTGGATCTGTATTATTTTTAAAAACAAGTTTAACGTCAGTGTCGCTTGGTGATCCTTCTGTATCATTATGTTTAAGTTTTCTTTTGATTGGTGCTTTTTTTTATTGGTTTGTTTTCCTTTTAGTTGTTTTTTGTTCAACCTTTCAGTCTTACGTTTCTCTTTCTGCGCCTCCAGTTCTTTTTTTATAGCTATTTTTTCCTTAATTGCATTTTTCCTAACGGAAGAAGTCAGAACAAAGGGTAGTTTCTCCGTCTCCCTTTTTCCTTTCCTTTCGGGAGTTTTCGGCCAAATAATATAATCGCTGATTGAGGAAGATGATTTATTTAATAAGACGTGTTCAGAGGCGAGCGATGAAGTGCTAGGCATTTGGTTGTCTAAGCTAGTAGTTTCTTCTATTACAACAGGAATATTTTCAATGTCAAACATTTGCTCATTTACGATAATTTCCGAAGTATCCTTAATAAAATCCTCATTTTTGTCGTCCTGGAAATTTCCGATTTCAAGATTTATTTCTGGCTCACAGATTTTAGATTGGATCCTCCTATGGAGTTGGTCCATTCCTCTCTGCTGATCTGTATCTTCGTGTTTATCCATATCTTCCATTTGATCAGTATTCACGGATGGACTTGCCTTCAAAAAATTATTATAAAGATAAAACAAGGTCAAAAAATCGGAATTATGTGCATCACTTTCAACAAAGTTTTTAAGCCTTTCCATTTTTTCTTCTCCAACAACTTTTTTAAATGTTTCGAATGAAATTTCACCGACATCCGTGTCTTTATCTTTCTCTTTTGCCTTGCCAGTGCATTTGGAATAATCAATTGCGTATACATTCCAAGGGAAAAGCCCACAGGCACGAAAACCATTTCTAATATTTTCTTGTTTTATATTATCAACCACTGTTTTTAAAACTGCAGCAAAATTGTCCTTTGTTACTACTTCAGTAGGGTGCTCTCTCCGAAACGTTAATACAGCACTTTTCCATCCTTCTTTTAAGGGCTTAAAGACAGCCACATCTGCAGGTTGCATAATTCGAGTCGAGTTAGGGTATAGAGCAATTAGAATTATCTGTAGTTTTGTGCATAATTCGCTTATTTCATAGGTTAAATGTGTACTGTGACCATCAACGAACAAGACTATTGGAAATTTGATGTTATTTTTTCTTAAGTAAGGATAAAGAACGTTTCCTATATATTCGTAGAATAGCTGATTTTTCATCCAACCGTTATCACTGCACCCAATTCCCCAGGTGTCAGGTACAGATTTAACAATTTCGGCTGGCAGTCTTTTGTAAGCATAGATAATCATCGGTGGGGTCACAACACCACAAGCTGAAAATGTAAACATCACTGTGATGTTGTTTTTTGAATGATGTTGTATTTCATAAACATTTTTCGCTCCTCTTGGTGCAAGAACTTTTTTGTTCTTTGGGCAAAGCCAAAAACAGGTTTCGTCTCCATTGTAGATTCTGCTGGGATCTTCAAGAACCTCAAATAATTGTTTTTCCTTTAAATAGTCTTCCACATTATTAAACCAGTTTCTTATGTCTGCTTCGGCTACAACTGAGCTAGCTGCTGTTATTCCTTCTGAGGTTCTTAGAGTTATATTTGGGTGACGTTTTAGGAAGGCGTGATACCATCCTTTTCCTGGACGGTTATCTTTAAACGGATTTTCTCTAGGGGTTGCGTCAAGGAAATATTTCACAGAAGCCTGAATGTCTTCCATTCTACGCGGAAATCCTTTCTTGTATGAGGTCAAAATCCATCTTTCTAGAACTGCTTCTTCTTCTGAAGTTAATACTGGGTTAGGTCCAAGAGAAACTTTATTATTAAATCTGACACTTGACCGGAACTGAAGTGTTGCTCGAGGAATCTGATATAACTTAGAAGCTTCTCTTTGACTCATACCATTTTCAATAGACTCTAAAGCCTTAATCATATCTTCTTCTTTATATTTTTTTCGGTAAGAAATACCTGCAGAGACCTTTGGCATATTGTAACTGAAAAAAAAGCATTGCGATAGTGATTGGCCACGTTGAAATAGAGTAATTGGCCTACGGCCAACGACTGTTTACTCTTAGAATAGGTAAAGGCAACAATAAGAATAATGTAACTTATAGAGTCCACTTTTATGAAAAACAAATTATATCTGAAAACTTATTTTAAAAATTTAACACAGTAATTGGCCGGCTGGCCAATAACTGTTTATATACCTAAATTATTGATACAGTTATTGGCATAGTAAATTCGCGCGTTTTTTGTTATATAAAAATGTTTCGGGCCTAAAATTGGATCAGTTACAACCTTAGTTTAATAACTCATGCTTAATTAAATCTGTATCTATAACGATTAAGTTTATAATGGATCAAAAACAGGTGTACAATCCTTAAGAAATTCGTTAGTTTTTACCTGTGAACAACTAAACTGGCGACAACAAGAAGTGACTACACCCTTTAAGCACTCTATTGTTACTGTAGCAAGACGAAACTGTAGGTGAACATTAAGCGACGTTGCCAAAATTATCCCGTAAATTTGATTTATTTCAGTAACAGCAGAAACTCTTAATATTTATAAATTTATGTTAACATGGCCAATCACTATATCATGGCCAACGACTGTATCATTTACCCTAATACGAAATACAAAATATAGAAAATAATTACACTAAAGTAACGAAAAAGAAAAGTTTGATAACAAATAAACAAAGAAAATATAAAATGTAGCTAAAAAACAAGTCAGAAAGATGAAAATTACGAATTGAAAAGCATAACAAAAAAAATATAACAAAGGAAAAAATTGCAATAATATAAAAATGTTATAAAAAAGGAGGCAAATGAAGAAGAAGCGATAGACAAGATTAAACTAAGGAAACTTTAATGCATTTTACAAAGTAAAATTGAAGGAAAAGGGCCCCAGGACGAAGAAGAGCATCCTGGCTTGCTAATCTAAGAGCATGGTATAGAAAGAGCTCAACACAGCTATTTCGTATAGCAACCAACAAAATTATCATAGCCAGAATGATCGCCAACGTTCGGAACGGACAGGCACCCTAAGAAGAAGAAACTAAGGAAGAAAACAAGCACATTTAATATCTATACCTATATAATTTGAACTTCAGTAACATATTTTCTCCATTCTTCTCTATTTTTACCTAGTGCTCTTCAGTTTCCCACTTTAAATATTTTGATATATTCCTCTTTTCTCTTTAGTTCTTCTTCTCATCTTTTTTGTTTTTAGTTCCAATCTGGGTAATAATAATTTTAGTTAAGGAGTTGAACTCAATTCGTTCTATTTGTCCCAACCATCTCAGCTTCTACGAATCTTTCATTCTCTTTGCAGTTCCCTATTTTATTTTTATTAGTCCTATAATTCTAAATAGAATCTTAATCGAAAATGTCTTATTTCTGTCTCACTATCCATTCATTTACGTAGTCGTTAAAGCAACATAGTTGTTATAACAAGAATGGAAATTAAACATAAAAATGATAAAGACAAAATCAAACAAAGATATTTTTAAAAATAAAAAACGACTAAGCTAAATAACATATTCTTACCTTGATACAGAAAACAGCCTGCAGTTATTGAAACCAGCGATCCAAGTATTCCGTTTATGATATCAATTGTGTCAATTTTTCCCCTCAGCTTAATCATTGTGTACAAAATGCTAATCGTGCCTCCTCCAAAGGTAGCGATCATGGTCATCACTGCCGCTTTAGCTGCATATTGCCATTTCTCACCACTTAACTAAAGAAATAAATATAGTTAAGATAAATTGTCAATGCTAAAGACAGTGTTTTTTTGAGGGACCAGACGGCAGAAGATCAATAGACCGTCTTAGAAAAAGATAGAACGATGATGTTGAAGCCGATTTATCTAAGATTGAGATAAAACAATTAGAAATGTAAGCGCAAGATCGTAGAAGATGGAGGGCTATAGTGGATGCGACGAAGACTTATCCCAAGTTTTAAAGCCAGTCAACAAGCAGAAGACAAATTATAGTTAATTAAGATAGAAGAGACCAAAACAAATTATACCACTTGAGAATATCATTTCAAACAATCTAGCTACAAAAAAAGTTAAAACAAGAAATAAGTCAGAAGAGCCTTAAAGAAATCATATCAGCGTCAATTCCGATAAACATCAATCTGTAATGATCAAAAACAGAACTTAAGATCCAAATGCCCTAAAACCAAATTATTCAATATTGAAATAGGATTGTCAAATGAAGTATTCAGTTTGATAAGAGACTAACGTTGATGTCACATATTACTTAAACTAAGATAGCTGGTCTAAGAGGAAGACAAAAATAAATACCAAATAAAGATAAAAATGGAGTGAATGCATTGTTAAAGCGACATTAGTAAATACTTCGATAGTATAGAACAAATATATGGGACAAACAGAAAAAGGATACAACCGATGCAAAAGAAGACCATCGAAGTATTAGGGGGATTCTTTTCTACGTCAACACATTTATGTACTGGAAAACTAAACTACAAACGATATTACATGTATGGAGGAAAGTGCACGCAATATAAACATTGAACTAAGACGTTATATTAACCGTTAAAATAATAAAAAAATAATTTAAGAATCAGATAAGTTAAATGTATGAGATCAGATATGTCAAAATAGATCACTTAACGATGGAAGTAATTTCGAATGACACTGTAAAAGATGAAGTTACATAAACCCTTTCATAGAGGTATCAATCCGCCAATCAACAAGAAGAATTACTTAGAGAAAATATGAAGAAGAAGGGAAACAAATCTTTTTCTGCGGCTTTTATAAAATTTTTGGCTAAATCACATCAAAACTTTCGTTATAAATACCAAAATTTAAGATCCGTTTACACTCCTTTAATTTAATAACTCTTACAGTTTCCTTTTCGACTAATCAGCTATTTCAACGTAGTCATCAGTTATAATCATAATGTTACTCACCATAGCCATTAAAGATATTAATTATTTATCCATGTAAACATTTTTATGACTTACCCCGTAAGTACTTCCAGAGTTAAATGCCAACCATCCCCACCACAGAACAAACAGACCCATCACAGCATTTACAGGATTTCCCAACGGTAACGGTGTTATACCATTGTCGTATCTTCCTAGACGTGGTCCCAGCATAACAGCACTTGCAAATGCTGCACTACCTCCTAAGCAACAACAAAAATTGTAAAAAGTTTGGTATGTCTGAAGAATAGATATTGATAGTTATGTTCACATTAGTGTAGAGTAATATAAAAACCAAATTGAAAATTATTTACATGGAACATGAACGTGCGCTTACAAAATCATAAAACAAATAAATAGATCAGAAAATTATAGTACCCAGCAATATATGCAACAGTATGTGAATTATGGACTAGAATAGACTTATCATAATACGCAGCAGAAGATGAGAAAAAAATACAAACTTATGCCAAGAAAAAACAATGGTAGAATGAAAGAAAATGTACTTAATACAGAAATTAAGAAGAAAACCTTAAAAACTATAATGATGAGGTACAAAAAAGGCGAAACAGATGACATAGTCGACGAACCACCAGTGATTCTTAATGTTAAAGAGACAGTTAAAAAAACTAGCCATAAACAAAATACACTGAATTGAAAATCTACCGATCGACTATTAAGAAGGTTATAAAAACTGAAAAAGTTACGACAACCTCTTAAGGGGAAAGATTTAAAGCTTAGTAGGATAAAAACTATTTGGAATGTTGATTTGAAGATGTAGTTAGTACAAAAATAGAATGATATCTTTAGATGGTGAAATTATTGCGAAAAGTAATAATTTTAAGTGTCTAGGATCTGCATTAAGAGTCATGGAGAAAGAGATGGAGATGTATGGAGCAGAATTAGGATTGAATGGATGAAGTGGATGATGACATCCCAACATTCAGGGGGACACTATATCACCGAAACTGTTCACTACGCTTTTTTAACTTATTCGGTATGTTTATTCGTCTTCCGGGTTTGGACCGTGTCATTTGTGAGTGACCCAAAAGTGGGTTCATCTCGACGTTTCGCTACAATTGTATGTAGCTTCTTCAGGAGAACAAAAAAAAAAGAAAAAAGAAAAGAAATCAAAGGACAGGAAGATGGGTAGTTAGCAACGGTAACTCAGTTACTCAACGCAACCAGAGGCGAATACTAACTACCAAGATGGGCATTTGGTCACAGTAACTCAACTACTCAACGCAGCCAGAGGTGAAAACCAAATGCCAGGACAGGGATTCACGTCCAACAGCTCAGAACACTAACGCGTCGAGAGGCGGGGAGTGAATCCGACGATTACTCCGCTACCGCTCTATTTATAGTCGCGGTGACCTGTCGTGTCGGGACGTATCGGCACACTTCGTGGCGCGAACGTCAAGAAGCGCGCGCTGGCCAATCATGCGGCTGCATCGTGGTAGCGGGACCAGATGGCGGCTCTAGACTGAGATTCCAGATGGGAGACAAGTAGTATCCTTCCTCTCGATTGATATTATGTGGATTTTTTCGGATCTCTAGAGATTCGCGGATTTTCCTGGAATAAAAGAAGGGGCTCTTCTCTTAAAAGAAGTGTTCTGCAACTGCCGAATGGGAGAAAAGACCTGATCGAATGAATCTTTGATGCTCTTGAATCCGAGTTTTGACGGAACGACCAGTTTCGCCAATATACACATGTCCACATGAACAAGGAATAGAATAGACACCACAGGAAGATAGGGGCGGTAATATGTCCTTAGGAGAGGGTAGATATTAGAGTGGTTACGCTATGTTGATGATACATTTATCATCTGGCCCCATGGTCAACATACCCTTTCTCCCTTCCTAGATCATCTTAACTCACAACATCCGAGTATAAAATTCACAATGGAAGTAGAAAATAATCGTTCCCTTCCCTTTCTCGATGTGTTAGTCACCTCCAAGCCCAATGGCCGATTGGGTCACTCTGTTTATAGAAAAAAGACTCACACGAATCGTTACCTACATGCTTCATCACACCACCATCCTGCCCAAAAGAATTCTGTGATCAACTCTCTCATCCATCGGGCCATTTCGATTTCTGAACCCGACAACCTTAGAGAAGAACTTGGCCATCTGCAAAAAAACCCTTGTCGCCAACGGTTACTCCAAGTCCACAATTCAAAATATTACCACACCGACATCTACATCCCCCTTTTACACCCTAGGACGACAAATTCAGAATCTTCGGGTAATACTCCTGTGGCTTTTCTTCCGTATATTCGAAGCGTCACTGATAGGATTGGCAAAATTCTTCGAAAAGAAGGTATCAAGACTACTTTTCGACCACCCAAGAAAATGTCACAATATCTACCCTCTCCTAAGGACCCATTACCGCCCCTATCTTCCTGTGGTGTCTATTCTATTCCTTGTTCATGTGGACATGTGTATATTGGCGAAACTGGTCGTTCCGTCAAAACTCGGATTCAAGAGCATCAAAGATGCATTCGATCAGGTCTTTTCTCCCATTCGGCAGTTGCAGAACACTGCCAAGAAACCGGTCATTCCATATTGTTCGAAAAAAACCCATATTATTTCTAAGAGCCCCTTCTTTTATTCCAGGAAAATCCGCGAATCTCTAGAGATCAGAAAAAATCCACATAATATCAATCGAGAGGAAGGATACTACTTGTCTCCCATCTGGAATCTCAGTCTAGAGCCGCCATCTGGTCCCGCTACCACGATGCAGCCGCATGATTGGCCAGCGCGCGCTTCTTGACGTTCGCGCCACGAAGTGTGCCGATACGTCCCGACACGACAGGTCACCGCGACTATAAATAGAGCGGTTGAGGAGTAATCGTCGGATTCACTCCCCGCCCTCTCGACGCGTTAGTGTTCTGAGCTGTTGGACGTGAATCCCTGTCCTGGCATTTGGTTTTCACCTCTGGCTGCGTTGAGTAGTTGAGTTACTGTGACCAAATGCCCATCTTGGTAGTTAGTATTCGCCTCTGGTTGCGTTGAGTAACTGAGTTACCGTTGCTAACTACCCATCTTCCTGTCCTTTGATTTCTTTTCTTTTTTCTTTTTTCTTTGTTCTCCTGAAGAAGCTACATACAATTGTAGCGAAACGTCGAGATGAACCCACTTTTGGGTCACTCACAAATGACACGGTCCAAAACCCGGAAGACGAATAAACTATAATTCTGACTCTGGCCGTGGAAGCCTACGATTTCATTTATTCGGTATGCTTATTCGGAATGCTTTTAACATTTTTTAAAGCTTCTGGTATCGAATGCTTTTTCGTAGTCGACAAATATCAGTGCCAATGGTTTGTTGTATTCTGCAGATTTCTCTGTCAGGTTCTTTATCACTAGTATAAGAGCAACACTGAAGTGGAACTGGGCAGATTACGTGTCTCGAATGACTAATAAGAGATAGATAAAGCGGATACTGGAATGGAGACCAAGAGATAATAACTACCAAAGAAGAGGTCGTCCATCAACATGTTGGACTGACGATCTAAAACATTGCTTTAGGAATTTAATGCAAGAGGCAGAAGATCGAAACAGAATGAAAATTATGAGGGAGATCTTTGAGGGAGAGAAAATTGAATAATGATGGATGAAGCGGAAGGAGGCGAGTGGTTTGTTGTAAAACAAAAAGGTTCAGATGAAATGAATAAAAAACTCGTTAAAAATGCCATAGGACTTGTTGATGGCTTGGCGCTTGATTGTCACTTTAATATGTTCATTGAAGGCCACCAAAAACACTACTCTACATTGATGTGAAATCGACTATAGAGTATTTTAGCTTACCTATAAGATGTACAGCACCGGATCCAGCAATATCTACAGCTCCTAAATTTTTAAGGAAGCCGTGTTCTCCCCAAACCCATCCAGCAGGAATACAATAGATGACTGTGTTTAGAAAGCTAAACACGCAGTATGCTTTAAAATTACATCTGAAACAATTTTCGTCAGATGAGGATTTCAGGCAAATAAATAAATAAAAATTTTTGTCAATCAGTGGTAAATTTTTTTTGCTAACATTACATAATTTGTGCATTTTTTTTAATTTGTTGTTTTTTCTGCTTCAATAATAGTTTTCATTAATAAAAAAATATATTTTCTATATTATGGAAATTCAAAAATGTGGTTCGATGGAATAAAACTTTTTTAGGCTGGAGTTTTGTCTTTTTAATCTAATGTTGGGCCAACTAACATAGGAAGTGGCTCGTACATGGGGGTACTATAGCACTTTTTTTAATATTGTAATGATTGAAAATGATTTCTTACCTTTCAGCCATAGCTCCACTGACTATAGTAGTTGCAGTAGTAGCAAATGACAGTTGAAAAATAAATGCTGTGTATATCGATCCCTTCAATGGATCCCGAACCGAAGGATCGATGAAAAAGTCACCGAGAGCTATGAATCCGTTGTTGTACTCGCTTCTGCCAAACGAAAGTGCGTAACCAAACATCCAGTATGTTAAACCTAAAGAAGATACATAAAATAAGAAAATATGATAATAAAATTGATAATAAATATTATTTCTTCCTATAATTTTTTTTATATGCATCACATTCTAAGCAAAAGTTTGTCTGTCTTATGAATCATTTTCAATCTGATTAATTAACTTTTTCCATGATTGTTATTGTGTCTATTACCCTTTTGCTTTGTTTCGATGTTTTTTTGTAGATTTATTTATTCTCCTCTGCTTCATTATATAATGCATATATTTCTCAATTACTACAATTTTAATTTGTTGATTTCATTGTTCTAATTAAGTCTCATAAAAACAAATATTAATTTCAGCGTCATGGGTAAATTATCATTTTATTCTTATAACAGATATACTTGAAATACTTTTTATGTCCTGACTAGTTTATTGCTACTTATGATGTAAAATCACTATATTTAATTCAAAGTGGAAAAAATAAACGAAGAAGAATATAAAGAATAAGTTAAAAATTACAACCATTGGTTGAATATATAATAAATTCAAATCAAAAACTTTGTCTATACTGATGATATTAATATTGTTGGCAGAGTAGGAAACACTGTACGAGATAATAAAACGAAGTATATGCAAAAAAACACGCAACCACAAATCCTACGGCCACTTGTTATAGAAAACGACGTCATCGAAGCAGTGAACGAATTTGTACACCTAGAAGCGCTCCTTAATACTGAAAATAATACTACCGCAGAGATAAACTGCAAAATTTGCACGGCAAAGATGTTATTTTGGGCTTAATCTCGTCCTTATATCCTTATAATACGCCTAACTTATGGTTCAGAGACCTGGACTCTAAGAAAAAGTAATGAAAAGATGTTAAGGATGTTTCAAAAGAAAAGTACTAAGGCGAATCTATGGAGCAGTGAATGACAATTGAGTGTAGAGAAGACGATACAACTTCAAACTTTATATAATATACCAGGCATCAGAGTAAAATATATTAAGATAGGGCGTCTGAGGTGGATAGAGTGTCTAATACAAATGAAACAAAATGACCTACTTAGTTAAAGAAAAGCTCTTTAGCGAGAAAGCAAAAGATACAAGTTTAGAGAAACATTGAAGAAAAACGAAAAACGGAACAATACAATCAATATAAAGAACTAGAGAATAAAATATAAGAGAACGAATAAAACAAAAAAAAACAAAAAGTACTCGTAGAGCTTGTGCATACATACCTCCTAGTACGATGTCGACGACATTTTTCATCATTATATTTACTTCATTTTTGATGGAAACACATCCAGATTCCAGCATTCCAAAGCCTGAAATCAAAAGCAAACTATAAAAACTATCTGTTAGCGCTGTTGAGTACTGAAGTTTTACAACGTTTTCATTTGTTTATTTTGTCTTAACGATTTTTTTTTTGTAATTTGTGGTGTTTCAGTATAGTTTTCTAGTTCCATACGTTAAAGCATCTGTAAAGTTAGGTGCAAACCAATTTATTTCATAAATACAAGAAAAGCATGTATTTTGGTGTATAAAACTGAGTTGTTTCCCTTTGCCGGGCTAATTTTAGCTTAGGAATCGTAGTTTACTTACATAAAGTACAAGTTTCGCACATGGTACCACGCCGAGTTGCCGATATTGTACCGGTACAATTTTAGATACCATTGGGTATTTAAGACCTACTTATTTTAAAAATAAATAAATAAATAACACAAACCGTTCTTATGTGTTTTAGATGCCAAAGGAAAATATAGGACATGGAATGTGGACGATATTAGCCAGGCTCTTCAAACATTTCGTAATGGAGACATGGATTAGATAATTGCTGTAGGCAGTATGGAGTCCCTAAGCCCTACCTTGCTCTGTCACCTTAAGGGGACCAATCTCAAATACTGAAATAAAGGCTTTTGGTCACCAAAGCAGTGTGTTTGCTTTTTGTCAACAATAGTAGTGGAGAGGCTAGTTGATCACATTTTAAAACTGGAGACGTTAATATTTTACCTCACATGCCACATGAATCACGTTCATGCCTTGTGACCGTAACCGCAAAGAGAATAATAAAAAAGACTGGTAGGATTTACACATTAAAAGAATATGTAGAACTCATTATAACTGCTATTACTAAAAAAAGATTCATTGTCCATCTGATCGAGAGTGATAATAGTATTATCAAAGATTATAAGACCTAGTGGACTAGATATTACAAAAGCAATGTTTTTATCACACGAATCACTAGATAGGCATATTCCCAAAGAAAAAAAAAATTCTTTTTTTATCATCAAGTTCATGCACTTTTCTTGTAACTCTCAGGCAATAGGTCAAATTATTTTTCTCATCAATTTATTGACGGAATTGTTTACCATATACTTGATGTTTCTACACGCACCAAAGTAGAGTCACTACTTGTTAACTTAGCCTACCCCCAAGTCAGAGTTTCCGATTAAGAAAAATAAATTAGAACATCCATTAAAATTTGCACCCTACTTGTATGAGAACATTCCTGGATGCAAGATATTTGATGATTACTTCTTTACATGACCAACTGCAGAAGGTGAAGATAAATCCGAAGAACTTTTATTTATTCCTTGGGATATTGGTATTTTGTGTTGTATTGTTTATAAAATTATTGTTATTGTTCATTAAATTTTGTATCGATATTTATCAGTGATGGATTGTTCTATACAGTGGTAATTAAAATTGTGTTAAATACTGGATAATTTTCAATAGAAGAAGTTTTTTCTTATTTACCGCTAACTTGATGTTTGTGACATGTGCGCTTTTCTTCCCACTGATTCAAATGCCAAAAGGTTTCTCGCACCAAAAGGTAAAAGGCAAGTTGGGTCAATCAGGCTACATGACCAATGATCTCTTTGTAAAATGGCTCCAGTATTTTATTGATTCTGTAAATCCAACAGCAGAAAAAAGTTCTATTAGCACAGGATAAGCATACAACGCACTCCCAAGAATCTAGAAGCCATTTTACGTGCTAGAAAGCAAGGTGTACTAATGCTACAATTACCTGGGCACACGATCCATCGCGTGTAGCCTTTAAATAGATCATTCTTTAAGTCTTTTAAATTTTAGCACACTCAATCAGTTGAAAAGTTACTTCGTTCTAACCTCGTATTATGTGTTACACAATTTCACATAGCTAGCTTGATTTGTGAAGCTTATGGAAGAGCAGCAAGCATTGAAATTGCATTTAATAGTTTCCAAACTAGTGAAGTATGGCCTGTTGATCGCATGGTCTTCAAAGATCATGACTTTTGTGAGGCTGAAAATTTAAATGACCATGAAGAGAGTGAAACTTGGCAAGATGATAAAGAGTCTAATGAGACAAACAAGGAATTACTGAGGCCTACAACAGGAGATAATGTAGAGTACGAAATAATCTAGAATAAACTACCTATAGGCCTACTAAAAAACTCGTGAAGCAAGTCCAAAACTTAAAACTTCAATTGATTTAATTTCTTCGATGCCGAAGCTATATCCAAAATCTTAGAAGAAAACAACACAAAATGCAAGGGTTTTGATGAAAAGTCTCTATAAAAATGAATTAGAGTTAGCTAAACAGCTACAGTTAGTGCAGGAACAGATAAAACAAATAAAAATAAAATTGAGGAAAGTTAAACCGAAATCATTCAGAAAACTTGTAAGTGATCCAAAAATAAAACTAGAAGGTAAAACTAGTCTTAAAAGAAACAAAGACGCTGTCAAGAAAAACATACCAAAAAATAAATGTGAGAATCTTACAGACTATGTTCTTCTAAATTCTGCGTTAAGCTCAAAAATGAACCTGACGTCGTAATACATATGTGTGTTAATGGGTCGTTCTGTTCAATTTGCGAGGAAAAAAAGCATTGAAGACATGATCCAATGCACCAAATACAGTTCATGGAACTATGAATATTGTACAAGAGTTGAACCTGGAACCTAGACTTTTTCTTGCTTTTAATGTAAATAAAAATATTATGTACGTTCATATTGAATAATTTCTGATTATTCATACCAAGAAAACATACTTTTTTAAGAGTAAAACCAATGATATCAAGTTACAAAAATTATCATGATTGTAAATCATCAACATGTAAATGTGAAAAATTCGTGTAAAAAAGTGTAAAATTTCGAAAAGTAAAATTCGAAATATGTTAAGTAGTACAATATTGGCAACTCTTCCCTAAGTGTGTTCAAAAATATATCAGCTATTTTCAGTAGTAATATCCCTAGGACATTGATAACAGGCGAGATAATTTCATGACAATCGAAAGCTCGTTTCTTGGTAACAGCACGAAGCCGAAGGCTGAGTGCTGTTACCAAGCAACGAGCTTGAGAAATTTGTCATGAAATTATGAGCCATTCATCAATGTCCGAGGGATATTCGGCGGATAATTTTTCGAAAACAAAAATCATAACTCAACATAACGAAACATTTATGTATTAAAAGTACAGTTAGTGAAAGTACAATTATTAAAATTTAAATTAACATTAGATTTAGACATTTTGAAACTTATTTGGATGAAGTTGTCAAACTCGATCGTGTTGTCATAGGGATTGAAAATTGCATTGAATGCAATTATCAGTCTAATGTTGACAGGATTGGGTGAAATTGTTCCACATGACACAAAATGACGAAATTTGAATGGTTGTTAGAACAGTCGAAAAATTATCAATTAAATAAATTTCCATTTTCAAAGATTGGTGGACAGAATCACTCTAGGAAATGATAAATGAATGATAAAAAATGTGTAGGTAAAATTGAGAAAAAAAAACAAAAAGTCCTGTATGAAATTAATAATCTTCAAAGCAAAACAAGCCTGATAAAGCCTAATACTGCAACCTCGTTATTTGTTTTCGTTTCTCCAATCCTTCAAATAAATAAAAACGAAGATCGATGAACGCAACAACCGAAGAAATGGTGAAAGCCAAACTGTAAAAATATCTTAAAAAATGAAAATCATGAAAACTTTAAAATCATGAAAAAAAAATGAAATATTGAAGATAGGCTTCTACATAAGCCAATAAAGAAAACCAGCAAAATTTTAAATAGAGAGTAAAAAAGAAAAGTTTACAATGGGAGAGAAATTTTAAAAAATTTGATACGTTTATTGACAAGAGGAAATCTAGGAAATAATGGAAAAATATATTTGTAATGGAAAATTTCATCTCGGAAACTGTTATAAAATGTGCTTTCAAATTAACGCCAAGTATTTTCATTTAAATATTAAATTATTCCTTTTAAATAAAATAGCTAATATATAATATGTCTACAAGAACTATATTTTGTCTCTGATTATGCTCGATGTTCGTACTCTGATACAGACTAAATTTTGAAAGTAATTACTGTGACCATAAATAAGTATAGTAATGAGACTACTGTTAAATGTAATACCAGATTTATCATCTTACCCGTCTGCATAGTAAATATCATAAAAGAGCTAGTAATAACCCAATTAGCATCTTCGTAATCTATAGCATACAACCAAGGAATTGTTTCATTCCTGATCCTAATTTCACTTTTATTCAGAGACATATTTAAAACGTTCGAGATACTTTCTTTGGTCAAATCTTTTAAAAACTACACGTACAAGGTTTCTAGCATGTCGAAGATCGCGGTTTTTGGACGTAAACAGGTAAATAATTGATAAACTACGATGACAATCAAAGATAGTTAGAGATTGTTAGTTTAATTCTCGGTATTATGTATATTTTAGATCGAGGTAATGTGGGAAACATTAAGGATACCTTGATCTTGAGGTACCTTTTTTTATAATATTGCTTTAACCTTACTAATGCATAATTTAAATAGAATATTACTAAGGGTTTATTAAGAGCTTAATAACACTTATTGAATGTGCACTTAAATTAAATTATATCATAAGATATAGTAACCTGTTGAAGATAATTTTTATTTTATATTAATAAATAAATAAAAAGAAAAAGAAACACACGTGATATTTTGAATTTAGTTCATCATGTGTACGTTCCCAACAACTGTGGCGCATTGGTTTTGGAGTCAGCTCTACACCGGGTGTAGCAGGTCCCAAGCACGGATAAAAGAACCTATGAGAGAGCCTTGTTTAGGGTTACACATGAAGCCCACAACAGCGGTGAAGGTAGATAAGAAAAATTTTGAAAACGGTAAGTTCGGCGAAAGTGGCAGCCTGAATTTTAGGAGTATAGAAATTTTTGAGTGGATGATTTGATAAGTTGTGGGACATTTTTTGATCCAAGTATTAAAAAATGGGCACTAAATGCGGAGGAACTACTAAATAGTAGTTCTAATAGTAGTAAGGATGTGGAACGCCAATGGATGACTACCACATTAGATGTTTCTTGTAAAAACATTGACCATTTTGACCATTGACTTTTATGTAGGTCATGCAGCCAGTCACTTATGGTCATAATAGGAAGTAAATTTTAAAGATAATATACCATTTGACCTGTGTAACAACCGGCTTAGTCCAATTTGCAAGCTCGTCAATGTAAAATCGATGATCGGCACGTAACGTTAGATACCAAACCATGTTCGCTAAATATGCTACTGGATAGAAACATCGAAATACATACCATTAAGATATCAACATGGAACGTTAGATCTCTTTCTTTAGACTGGAAATTAAAAAAATGCAATCAATGAAATAAAATGGCCAGGCAATTTTAAATGCGAGAAAAATGGATGCCAAAATATTTTATTCGGATAGCAGAGATGTCAAATCAGAATATGTTTTGAAACGATCAAAACATACTTAAATGGTGTAGATACACTCCCAACATTCCTGGACATAGCAATTATATAAAACGTGAGTCAACAACATGAAATACACATAGAATCACAGTAAAAACAAACTATTTTGAAACCTTTCGGAAGAAACGAACAAGTTCACCAAACTAAAAAAGAATAGTAAATGAAACTATTGGTGCAATAACAACCATAAACACAAAATACGAACTAGAACTAGAAACGATACAAAATTCTATTGAAACCAGTACCATAGAAAAAGAAATACCTACAGTTAATGGAAGATTTAAAGAAATCACCAATGAGCTAAAAGAACCAATAAAGGAAAAAACAGGAAAAGACGAACAGCCAACAGAACAAGCAACCAAGAGGACAAACGAACTGATAAATAAACTAAATAGGGAAGTCAAAAACCAATTAAAAGAGCATCGACACTAAAATTGGCACACTATATCCAGCATCATCATTAATTAGCCTATATTTGTCCACTGTCGATGGTCGTCCTGTGCTTCGATATGCATCTTGCCTTGGTCGGCATTCCAGAATCTTCTTGGTCCATCTTCTTCTTTAATTTCCACTCCTATCGGAAATTGGAAATCATTCTGGCAATTATAATTTTATTGGTTACTCGCCTGAATAGTTCAATTGAACTGCATCCAAACCATTCAGAGATTACCACGAGATTTTACGTCTTCCTACGCTTCTTCTACCTTTAATTTTACCCTGCATTATATTCCTTAGTAGTTCGTACTTTTCACTTCTCATTATGTGCCCCAAGTATTCCAATTTCCTGATTTTTATGGAATTTAAAACTTCGCATTGTTTTCCTAGTTGTTCGAGAACTTTCGAGAACGAGAGCTGTTCGTTTGTTTTGCGATCCATCCATGATATTTTCAAAATACGTCGGTAAAATGACATTTCGAATGCTTCTAGGTTTTTAATGTTGGATTTTTTAAATGTCCAAGCTTCAACTCCATACAAAAGGGTAGAGAAAATATAACATCGAAGCATTCTTATCCGGAGCGATATATTGGTATCGCGATTACAAAAAAGTTTTCTCATTCTATTAAAAGTTAACGCGCAATTTCAATGCAGCATCTTATTTCTTTTGTCTGATCAGTATCTTCTGTGATCCATGCTCCAAGGTATTTGTACGAAGATATTTGTTCAATTTCTGTATTATCTAGTCTTGTTTTGTGCTTTTGTAAATACCATGAACTTGGTTTTCTTCAAATTGATTTTAAGTCCATAATCGTTGCAATATATATTTAGTTGTTCAGCAAGGTGTTGCAGTTCTTCTTGTGTTCCTACCAAAAGGACGGTGTCGTCAGCATATCTTATGTTATTAAGTGGCTCACCGTTTATTATAAGGCCCTCACTGATCTCGGCAAGCGCTAATTCTGAGATGGCTTCTTTGTATAAATTGAATAACAAGGGTGATAAAATACACCCTTGGAGGACCCCACGGCGTATCTAGATATCCTTGGTCAGTTCGTTTTCAACTTTCACTTTTGCTGTTTGATTCCAATAGAGGTTGGTCCATCTGTCATCCGTTAATCTGGCAACATGTCCGGCCCAAGCCCATTTAGCCCTGGCTATTTTTTCAACTGCATCTGTGACTCCTTTTCTTCTTCTTATTTCCAGATTTGGTACTTTATCTCTGATGGTAATAATACCTTATATTGATCTTTCCATAGAGCGTAGTGTAACTCTTATTTTATCTATTGTTCTTTTTGTCAGAGTCAGTGTTTCTGTACCATATGTAAAAACCGGTAAAACGCACTGGTTAAAAACCATTCTTTTTAAACAAACTGGGATACTAGACTTGAAAATGTTATTCAATTTATCAAAGGCAGCCCATGTGAGACCTATCCTTCTTTGTATTTTAGTTGTCTGATTATCTCGGCCTAGGCGAATCTCATGTCTAGATATTTGTAAGCTATTACTTGATCGATGCTATGGCTCTCAATCAAAATTTTACTGCTGACTACAAGATTGGTCTCATAAATTTTGTTTTTGAGGTGTTAGTTTTAAGACCAATTGTTTTTGACACTTTATAGAGCGTGTCCAGCATTTTTTTAGCTTTATCAACTCTATCAGATATTAACACAATCTCATACCGATAATAGATACCGATTTTTTATTTACTTTTGACAGAAATTATAGTTAAAAAAGATATAGTATGTACCTCCATATGTATTAAAAAACAGTATTCAAAATATTTTCAACATATCTGCAAATTAATCTTTATTTTATATTACCTTTAAACAACGAAACAGTTAACGAAACGAAGAAGATATCATGCTAATTTTTATTTTTACTCAGAAAACTCCAATTCTATTTTAAAATATATTTATAAGCAGAAATTAGATCAATAGAACTTCCGTTAATCATAAACCGACTAAAGACTGATATAATCTTTTGTCCTGGTTATTCACAAAAGAAATAAACCTCGTAATGTTATAGCATTCAATATCCAAAATCTCGATTAGCTCATAAAGAGACGGGTCAATGTATTTCCGCATATTTTAGTTTCCAAGACAACAACAGTTGTTGATTCGTGTGTTAGGCACATCAAAGAAACTTACAAGAAGTATTCACGGTTAGTTCTTCGTTAGAAATAATGCAATCGGAGAATAAGTTGTACGAATATGACACAGAACCAATTGCTAGTTCCAGTCAGGAAAATACGGAACACAGTCCGTTTCAATCCTCTAAACTTGAGCTTAAATATCCGAAAGAAGATTATAGAAAAATATTTAAGAAACAAAATGAGAATCGTAAAAGTTTACGTCTGATATCGAATAAGGTAGCACCTTATAAAGGGTGTACTGATTATTTGGTGTCCAAGAAACGAACAAAAAAGCGTCCCAAGTAAGTACTTTTCGTGAATTAAAATTTTATATATTTTTTTTTAATAAAGGGATTAAAGTTGCCGATTAAATCACATTAATTATACTTAATGTGGATACATTAATAAGTGTTTACATTGAGGAACCATATATTGGCTCATAAATACTATTTGCTTCTCTGTGTCTAACTATTTTTGAATATAGGGGAACTACTAAAATTTGACATCTATTATATTCTTTTCATTTTATGGGTAGTTTAAAAGACTTTTACCGCAATATAATGGACAGGTAGTTAAACATGGGATAAAGAAAAAAAACGCAATAAAAGTAAATCAACAGGTAACATGAACAAGAAAATATAAATCTTCTTATTCTTATGACTTCCTCACCAACAGAGATTGGCTACCACATTTCTTTTCTTAAAGTTTTTCTGCTCGTGGAGTAATTCTTTTACATTTAGTTATCTTTATCCCGTTTTAAGATATTCTTAGTTAAGGTTTTGACTTGGTATATGGTAAAAATGGACGAAAATAAATTACGGAATAAAGTGAGAGTAGCTAAAATAAAAGCAGACCCAAGAAAGTTTATAACCAATAAAATCCATGACGGACAATCTTAAAGCATGGTGCTACAGTAGATAAATCATACTACTATAATGGGTACAGATATGTTCTTCTTAGAGTGCCCGTCCGTTCTGAACTTTGGCGGTCATTCTGTCTATGATGACTTCGTTGGTAGCTATACGGAATAGCTGTGCTGAGGTCTTTATATGCCATGCTCTCAGGTTAGCAACCCAGGATATTCTTCTTTATCCTGGGACCCTTGTTTTGTTTAATTTCACCTTATAAAATGCATTGGAGTAGCTTATATCTGCCTTGATTTTTCAGTGTAAGTCACAAGTACTACAGCTTATTCATGATGGTGACCAAATCAGCGATT